GCCGTCGTCGCCAATAATTGAAAGAATAGCGGCGATAGCATAGTCAGAGGCGTCCGCTTCCACTGTAATTTGACGATCGGGAACCCAATGGTGAAGTATCGGAGCTTCCGAGAAAGCAGTCTTCAGACCGTCAAAGGCTGATTGACAGTTTTCGGACCAGTTCCATTTCACGCTAGATCGGGTAAGCCGAGTGAGTGGGATAGTAATATCCGAATAGTTCCAGATAAAACGCCGATAGAAGTTGCAAAAGCCTAGGAAGGATTGAACATCCTTCACTTTTCGAGGAGTAGGCCATTGAGCAACTGCAGCGATTTTCTCAGGGGCCATTCGGAAGCCGTCGGGGGAGAGAATATATCCAAGGTATTCACAAGTGGTGACGCTGAATTCGCATTTCGGAAGTTTGCAAAAAAGTCCGGATGCTCGGAGTCTCCGAAGTACTTCTCGGACATGCTCGGTATGTTTCGACTCGTCTTCGGAGTATACGAGGATGTCATCCAAGTAGACTACGACGCAGACGTCAAGGAGGTCCGAGAAGATGGTATTGAGAAAGCGTTGAAATGCCGCAGGGGCATTAGTGAGGCCTTCCGGAACCACTCTCCAGTCATAAGACCCATAGCGAGTACGAAAAGCAGTTTTGGGCTCGTCGCCTTCTTTAATTCGGAGAAGGTGATAAGCATGTCAGAGATCGAGTTTTGTATAGATGCGAGCCTTGCTCGGAGCATCTAGCAAGTCCGAAATTAATGGAAGCGGATATCGGTCTTTCTTAGTGATTCGGTTAAGACCTCGGTAGTCGACGCAGAGCCGAAGAGAGCCATCTTTTTTCTTCGCGAAAAGTATCGGAGCTCCGTGAGTTGATTTCGAGGGATAGATGAAGTTGGCCTTTAAATTCTTATCGATGAATTCTCGGAGTGCCGATAGTTCAGCTTGCGATAGAGAATATATATGACCAATAGGTGGTATTTCACCCTCCTCGGTGTCAATTCGGAGGTCGTATTCGCGATGTGGAGGTAGATTGTAGGCTTCGGACTCCGAGAAAACGTCGGCGAAGTCTTGATACTCGGTCGGAATATCCGAAAGGTCTCCGTCCAAGGAAGTTGAATGACCAGATATGTCGCTTCTAGGACATGTGCGAAGTGTATATTGAGTGGTTCCTTTCTGCCCGATAATAGCAGAGTAGGCAGCAGCCGAAACTAGGGATATGTGGGGAGGAGAACCGAATGGCTTCGGAGAAGCCGAAGGAGGCGGAGTACCGGATGGCTTCGGAGAAGCCGAAGGGAAGGAATATCCATAGAAGGATCAGAACTGAGAGACGACGTCGGAGATTCCGAGATGGGCTTCGGAGTCGGAGTTTCCGAAGGTCCTTCCGAAGAGGAATTAACCGGAACAGAATTAGACTGTATAGTCTGAGGAGTCGACATTGATACCCCGGTGGTGTCGGAGGAACGGAAAGATATTAGGCCTGCCGACCAGTCAATCAACGGATTGAAGCGGTGGAGCCAGTTGAATCCAAGAACCAGGTCACTAGGGGCATCCAGATGGGTGACGTAGAATTCCAATATTTGGACATCTCCAGTAGGGAATAGAATTGGAAGGCGGATTTGCCGATTTATTATGGAGGAGGTGCCGTCGAGGTATCGGAGCCTTATCGGAGGTATCGAGTAAGGAACAAAACCATTCATTTCACAAATATTAGGAGATATGAAACAATGTGAAGATCCGGAATCGACAAGAGTCCGAAGGCGGATAATGAACCTCGCAGCGAGGGATGAAGGAATCGTAAATTTTGTAGATGCATAAGCTTCGGAGTTTCCGAAGGAATCTCCGAGCGAGTCCGAAGGTGCAGCATAAAGGTCGAGGTATAAGGCATTAGATGAAAGAGAGGACGCGTTGAGGAAGACCTCAGGAAGCACACTAGAGTCAACACAGCTCTGATCGTGCGCGGAGGTTTCAGAGCTGCTGACTATTTTTTTGACTCCGTGGTAGCAGTGTCGGAGTTCTTCGGAGTTTCCGCTTTAGAGGCCCTGCCTGCGGCGTTGGGTCTCTTTTTGTTACACTCCGCAGCGGAATGACCGCTGCCTCCGCAATACATGCAGAGGTTGAACTTCTTGCGACGCTCCCTCTCAGTATCCTTGAGCTGTCCACTCTTATCCAGTTTGTCGGCATAAGGCTTCGGAGTTCTCGGAGTTCCCGAAGACTGCGAAGCGGTAGGAGTGGAAGATTGCTGAGGTTTAAATGCTTTCTTCGTATTACCACCCTTCTGGTTGGAAGAGGCGGAAGCCGAAGAAGACTCGGGATTTCCGTGAGTACCGGTCTGCTCGCGTTTCTTCTCAGATTCTCGCTTCCAATAGCGAGTATCAACCCGTTGAGCCGCAGCCCGGAGTCCGATAAGAGTATTCGGATACTCCATATTGACAAGGGGATCCTTAATCCTCCTTGGCAATCCTTCGTAGTATTGGAAACGAAGGGCGGTCATTCCCCAACCAGTATAAGCTGAAAGCTTATTGAATTCGACGGTGTAAGTGGTGATACGGTCCGTGGATTTCATTCGGAGATTCCGAAGCTGGTCCTCGGCATCTCCGACAGGATCGTGCGGCCCAAAATTGTCCTGCAGCTCTTGAAGGAACTGAGGAAAATTGCTGTCCCAGGCTGGAACAGTGTTTGGGTCGGGATCGAAGAGCTGGGGTTCAAACCAATCTAGGGCGGTGCCTCGGAGGTACGACATAAGATAAATGATTTTGTCGTCGTCCGTGGTGAAATCCTGGTCACGTTCAGCAAAGTGCAGATAGCACTGAGCGAGGAATGGTCGGAGTTTCTGAGGATCAGAACCATCGAAGGTATCGGGGTTCCGAAGGTTAGAGCGAGAGCTCTTAGATCCAGACTGAGGACCTTTCAAACTCCGAAGTACCTCCGTGAGATCTCCGATATTGGCCAGAATTTGTCGACCAAATCTTGTCTCCTCATCAATAACTTCCTCTTCTTCGATAGGTGGTTCCAGTTCATCGGTTTCTTCAGCTATCGGATCTTCCGAAGGAGGAAGCGGAGTTGTAAATGGATTAGGAGCACGACGCGGAGCCTCCGATGGTACTCCTCCAACTGGGTAAGAAGCTGGACGTGGATTCATGGTGGGGTAAGGAATGGGCTGGAAAGTCAGAGGGATTTCTGACGATCGAGCGGCAATGGGAGTAATAGGAATATTGGATAGAAGTCGGGATTGCCGGCGGTCACGATCAACACGCCGTTGGAGAAGATTATTGCCAGCAAGAGATTGGGATGCGCCAGGCGTGCCTGGCACGATGGATGCGGGATTGTAGGGGTTAAACTGATCAGCCATGCAAGCCCAGATAGTTGAGTTTGATAATACTGTTAAGTGCTGAGCCGAGGGGATCAGAATTGCCGAGAAAGTCCGAAGGAAATATGTCGGAGTTAGTCACGGAGTTCCGAAGGGTCAGAAGGTCGTTCTCGCAAGCACTACAAACAAGAGTGTGCGACTACCCGGCTTGCGACCAAGGAGAGACAAGTCCAGAGATAATAACGGGAGGACGAGTGAGGATGCAGGAGGGCCGGAGGAGGCACGGAATATCCGATAGGTCGGAGTCCGACTCAGGTTGCGTTGGGAAGGGAGAACGCAATAACGTATACAATTATCAAACTGAAGAACAGAGGCTAAACTACTTAGCTTAAATACTAGTAAGCTAATTGTTTAGTGAAGTACAATAAGGTGTGAAAGATTAGTAAGTATTAGTCCGTGGACAATAAGTCGTCAAGACAATCCTGTGAAGGATTCGTAAGTATAAGTTCGTGGACAATAAGTCGTCAAGACATCTTGTGAACGATGAGTAAGTATTTCTCCGTGGACAATAAGTGGATGTCCGGATAAACTCCGAGAGTGTAGTAAGGGGTTATGAGTAAAGGAATCCGCTTGGTAATTCCTCATCGCGTAATGTCCCTTGCGATGGATAGAAGTCCCCCTCGGAAATTCCGAAGGAAGTCCGATCGGAGTTCCGAGGTACTCCGAGATGCATGGATATAACAAGAGTGTGACACGTGCGACGGCGGCATCAGAGCGGCGCGGGGACGCGGGAAGGTCCGAGTGATGGGTCCAGGCCCAATTGATGGGCCGTCCCGATCGGGGCGATGGCGTCCGGCGGCAACCGGCAGCGCCCGACGGCGGGTTGCTCTGACACACCGTTGAGTGCAAACTCTCGACCTAGGTAGAAAGGTTAGCCAAAAGATGTACAATCTGTAGTCAAATCAAAAATGGTAGAAAGTTGAACTATCAATTTGGTCTGAAACTGCTACGAAAGTAGCAACAATCAGCGTTTGTTTCTGCGGACAAAGAATTATCCACATTCATCTACCTGTGAAAGGACTCCCGAAAGTTCTTCTTTTCGACAGCCATTTCCAACAAGGAGAAAGAAAAAAACTCAGCTATAGCTGAAAGGGCCACCGAAAGAACATCTTTCAGTCCTACCCTGTCCCTTTGTTCATGGCAGGGACAGGGTAGGGCTGAAAGATGTTCTTTCGGTGCAGATTTCCTAAATTTAGAATTGTCTTTCCTTTGTTCTCATTGAAATTTGCCACTGAAAGATGGTCTTTTGGTAGTCCCTTCACAGGTAGGTGATTGTAAATAATTCTTTGTCTGCAGAAACAAACCCTGATTGTTGCCACTTTCGTAGCAGTTTCAGGTTAAATAAATTGTTTTACTTTCTACTATTTTTTATTTGGCTATGAATTGTACAACTTTTGGCTAACCTTTCTACTTAGGTCGATATTTTTCACTCAACGGTGTGTGAGGACAAGTGGAAGTGGGGAGTTTAGTGGAGGGTATTACCGGGGAGTACGCCCCCACGGCATTTTCAATACCAACCGCATGCACGGTATTGATGCGATCTGTCCATCTAGTCGGTTGCTAAGTATATATGGGCAAGGCAGGTGTAGTCAGTGTGATATCTGTCTGCTTCCTTCGAACTGGATATATGTCAGAGTGGGAGAATGTTCATGGCCCAATGGTCTAGACGTATGATACACGCTTCGGGGTTTCCCGCATTACTGAGTAATGTGCATTGTGTGTGGTCCCGGGTTCAATTCCCGGTTGGGCCCACTTTTTACCCTTCTTTGTAACCTTCTTTCGTCATCTGTATTAATTCTTCTTCAATCTGTGCTCCAGATTTGTATAGCCAGCTACTGTTCCTTCGTGAGCCGTGCAATACAACCATATGTGCATTTTTTCAATCTACAAAAACTGGGTGGTGTTACTTGCCGCACTTTGGACTCGACCACTTTCTTGTGCCTTTCTTGAACTTTCTTTTCTTTTCTTGATCCTCAGGCCACATGCCGGTGACCAATAACAACCTGAAAGGGGCGCCCTCGCGCCGGGCCGGCGCGATGAGAGGGGGGAGTGTTCCCGGGGAACACTCCCCCCTCTCATCTCTGCTCACACACGGTTCAGTTCATTCTTCTTCCTTCCCCCCAGTCACGACTCTAAATACCCATTGTTCAGCCTGCGTTCCGGCCAGGAGAGCCTGGACCCTCTAGACCGTGCCCTTGGTCTTCACTTGAACCCACCGAATCCTCACAGCGAGTAAGTGGCAGCCTTTGCGTGTGTACTTTTTGAATTTAGTATAGCTTTTTTGGACGCTGATGCGGTCGTTCACTTAGTTAGTCTGATGGATGTATCTACCCCCTTCCCGTTCGTGATTTTTTTTGTATATTAGATGCTAGCTACATGATGTTACAACTGTCCGAAGGACACAGTCCATCCACGCATCCCGGCTCTAATGCGTACTTGATAACACCACCTCGCCGCCGGATCTCAATAGTATACTCCCGATCAGGTTCGCCTACGTCAGGCACGTCGTACCACCATCGCAACACCTGTCCGTCGACCGCCCAGCGACCGGTACTAACAGAGACATCGAGATTCACCAGGTCCTTGCCCTTTTCCGCCAGAATGCGTAGGTCGGGACTAGCGACCTCCGTGCTCGTGCTGCTGCTAGTGCTCACCGTCATATCATGCAACTCAGGCACGGTCTCGAGGTTGATCGTCGACGCGTTGGTCGATGGGGGAAACACGCTGGCCTTTCCGCTTCCGCTCCGCGTGTGCGGTGTCAACTCCTCAAGACTCGAAACAGACTCGTGGCTCTCGCGCTGTTGATGAGGCCCGCCGACCAGCAGCTGCTCGTCCGCATAGTGCACGAGGGGCACAAAGATCTCGGTCGCCGGCGACTCCTCGTCAACGCCGCCCTGCTTGAGCCGGTCCTGCGCACGCCCCAGCACTACGAGCTTGAAATGTGCTTTGGGGAGGTCAAACGTGATATCGAGCGGTTTGCCGACAACTTTGGTGGGCCACGGGCGGCAGAAAGCGCGTACAGCCCGCGCACCGTCTGTTAAAAAGTCGTATGCGTTGGCCCGCCAACCCGCTAGTTCCACACCACTCTTGGACGGGAGAGAGAGCGACGAATTCACTGCGACTGTCGTCGCCACGCCGCTCGACCGTTTCTTGAGCAGGCCCGCCTCGCTGCCATACGCACCCGTCGTCGCAGCGCTGTCGCCAACATCCTCCATGTGGTATATCCGGTGCCGCGGGCTCCTTAAATCATCGGCCGACCATAGACTCAAATCCTCCATGTTCCAGCCATCGCCCCACTCGTGCGACGAGTCCGGACAATACGTCCAGACCGTCCAGTTGACCGCGTTCGGCCCGTCCGCGCCGTTCAAACTGGCGTCGAGGGCCTTTTCCTGCTGGCTGTAGTCGCCGACGCCCTTGCCGCCCCTGTCACCGTAATACGCGCGCTTTCCGTCCATATCGAATGGGGTGCCGATCTCGCCGATGATGGTCGGGTAGTCGCCGAGCGTGAGCGCGTCGCTCTTGAGCATGCCGAGCTGCTCCTGCAGCGACTTGCGGATGGCCGTCGCGCCGATCTTGACCGCCTGCAGCGTCGAGCTGTATTTTCCGCGCAGCAGACCGAGCGCATCCGCGTTGAACCAGTTCCAATGGCGCGTGACGAGCGTGAGGCCGTCATAATAGTGACCCGAGTACGCCGCGCGGCCGCGCAGGATGTTCGCGTCTAGTGTCGGAGGGCGCGCGAATACGGGCGGCTGCACGAAGAGGATCGCCTCCGGGTGGGCGGCACGGATGCGGCGCACGAATGCGAGAAAGTGCGGCTTCCAGTAGTCTTCGATGAACTCGACGGGCGCGTCCGTGTCGGCGCCAGGGGTGCCGCTCGAGGAGAGGTAGCGGAAGTATTGGGGGAGCATGACGAAGCCCGTCTCAATATCCCAAACGCCGTGCTGCGCCCAGATACACGTTCCAAGCTTCCAGCGCTTGTCACGTTTCCAGCCCCACTTGGGGTGCACGCCGCCGGGCTCGGTATCAGGGTCCACCCATATTCTGCGGCCCTTGGGGTCGATGGTGACGGTGCCGTCGCGTGCGGGGCCGAACGTGCCAAACGTCCAGTTCTCGACGGTCTGCGGCTGGCCCATGCCGAGGCGAAAACTCTGCGCCGGTGTGGGGTAGGTACCCTTTTTTAGGGTCGAGCCCTGCGCGGGCGGGTTCTGCATGAGGTCCTCCCAGCCACAGAGGCCCTCGAAGGGCTCATTCATGCTGTCCCAGCCGATGACACAGTCCTCGAGCAGGTCGCCCGCGGCGCGTATGCGGTCGGCCATCAGGCCCATTGCCTCAATGTAGTGGGACTGCAGGTAGTCCTGAATGTTGTGGCCGTCGATGACGCACATGGGGGCAAAGTCGCGGCCGGCAAAAAAGAGGGTGAAGACGGTCTGGGAGAGGAGGCGGCCGTAGTTTGTGGACCAGATCATAGCGGGGAGGGAGGCGGGGTCGGGGGTATGCGCAAGGGGGTACTCGCAGTGTATGATGGCAGACTGGGTGGCGGTGAGGTTGTGTGGATTTATTCCGCAGGCAGCAAGGGTCCAGAAAGGGGCACCAGAGCCGCCGGAGAAGCGAGACCACTTTGAATTTTTTAGACGACTCAGGGACGAGAATACGAGAATACGCACGATGTCCTGGTGTGGGTCCATGTATACTTTGAAGCCATATTCTTTACACTTGCGCAAGACGCTAACAATGTAGTCCATGAAGTCATAATCATATTTGCCACTAGGAGGGGGTTAGGCGACGCGAATAGACGGTAAGGAGAGTGCGCACGGGGCCTCGTGCTCGAGGGCCTCCCATGTGACGGGGAATCTGAGCATGTTGAAGCCCCCTCAAACGAGCGAGGTGGACGTCCGCGGAGCCGTCGTCGATGTTAAGGGGACGTCCAATGAAGGATTCACCGCCATTTTCTGCAGACTGCCAGAAGTCGTCGAGGACGTAGGAGGGTCTGTCGACGGGTGCCTTGGAGGACCCCGAAAGGTTGACGCCACGGAGGAGGAGGGTGCGGCCAGCGTTATCGACAAAGTTGCAGTCTGTGGTGTGTATGAAGGAGGAAGAGGTGGGGTTGCCCGTTGCTGGCGAGGTGGTAGGGACCGCAGGCATCGTGGAAGGCGGTGAGGTTATTTATTAATAATAATAATAAATGTGGAGTTGCAGTCGTACCATAGCCTGAATTGATCGGGAACCGGTCCGGGGGCGCGTTGTTGTCCACAGTCGTCCAGAAGATACAATGACGTAGGCCTGCAATAAGAGTCACCGTCCGTGCAGTAACCATGGCGATCATGTGATCTGCAAGCTGGTGCCCGTGAAAGTTCGCGCGAACGTTCAAAATCTGTGCAATATCCTAAACATGGGCCATGGCCATGGTCACCATGTTTAGACCTTTTTTGGAACGGAACGACCAGCCTGGGTCCATCAACGTTCAAAAGTGAAAAATTGCAAACATGGTCACCATTTTCAGCCTTTAGGATCTGTGAATTGATGCTAATATACAGCGTAGAATTGCTGAATAGGGGCCTGTTTATCATCTGCCTCCGTGACAAACAAACTCCTACTGTTGACCTCGTTTTATGGCGTCTGCACTGTCGGGGCTGGGGAACACGTCTGGCTTCTCGGTGGGCACCCACCCCGAGCTGTCCCTGGGCTCGCTCGATGACGATCTCAATGTCAAGACCCCTGCAAAGCTCCGTGTGCCCTCCACCTCCTCGGGCACCTCAACTCAGTCCTCGCTCCCCGTCGCCACCCCGTCGCCCCCCGTCTTCTCCCGCAGATCCACCGTCACCCAAGACAAGCCCGGATACTTTGATACCGACACCGTACGCGACGATAACGACGGTACCGACTATGGCGTCGGCACCCCCATAGCCACGCGTCCAAAACGGACCGCACGCGCCAGCGTCAGCGGATCCAAGGGCGCACTTACCCTTCGCGACCAGGAAAAGGTCCGCGCTCTCCCGCATTGTTCATTCCAACTTTCCAACAACATATCTAGCACATCGACAATCTGAAGAAAGAAAACTTCAACATCAAGCTGCGCGTCCACTTTCTGGAGGAGCGTCTAGCCCAGCTCGCGCCAGACCAGATCGATGCAGCCCTCAAGCAGAACATCAGCCTTAAGATCGAGGTCCAGCAGCGTGGCATGGAGCTTAAGAAGCTCAAGAAGCTCGTCCTCGAGCTCGAGCGCGAACTCGAACGCCTCCAGCGCGCAGGGTCCGGCGGCCACCGCTCGTCTACGCGCGACCGTGAGCGCGAACTCGAGGAGAAGCTCGAGGAGCGCGACCGCGAGCTGCGCGAACTACGCCGCCGCCAGGCGGGCGATTCGGGCGACGAGCTGCTCGCGGAGCGCAACGCCGAGCTCGAGGACGAGATGGACAACATGCGCGGTTTGCTCGAGGACAATATGGAGGAGATGGAGCGGCTCCGCGAGATGGTCGAGCGGCGCGACGAGGACGAGGCAGACGGCGGCCGCATCACGGCCCTTGAAGCCGCCAACGCCGAGCTACTGGCGCGCGTGGAGGAGCAGGCCGACCTCGTCAACCAGCGGGAGGAGGAGAAGGAGGATCTGGCGGACATGGTCGACGCGCTGCGGTTAGAGAACGAGGAGCTGCAGCAGCAACTGCAGCGTGCCGAGGCCCAGGAGCGATCCGAGAGCCGCGCGATGATTCTGGAGGAGCGGGAGGAACGCGAGGCGGTCGAAGATGATCTGAACGCC